GCCGCTTGCCACTGCAGTTTTACGAGTTTTCACTCGGTTTCTGGTTGCCTTTAAGGCCAGAGGTTTAGCCCTCTTGATATTTGTAAACGTATTGTAGTTTCACCAGCTCGGCGTACTACATACGTACCCCATTTAAATAGTCTTAGTGCTAGGCATTTGTATACTAATTCAAAGTTAGCTTTTAGTTAGAGTTTTAGTTAGTAATTTTCCAAAGCAAATCAAGAGAAATACAAGTCTTCACCATTTAATATCAATTATTTTAGTAAAGCAATTATCTAAGTAAAACAAAGTTAAATTTACGTGGCGATTAATATTCAGAAAGAATAATTAATGCATTTCTATACAGTTAAATAGCAGTGATCCCTACGTTTACCTTCAATAACATATGTCAAATGATAATAAATTTCAGAAGTTTGGGAGTCAAGTAATTAAACATTTTGAGACTTTCATTTATTCTACACGACACCTGTAATGTAGGTCAATGTATAATTAGCATCATAAGTTAAACAATACATAACAATTTTCTTGTACGTTTTTCTTTTCCTTTTTAGAAACATGTAACCAAACCTCTGAGATTTATGACGGAAGATTCATCACTAAGCAAATGATGAAAATTGTTCAAGATTATTTTAATATTTTAAATCTAATAAGCATATCGCTACTTCTGTAATGTTTGGAACCCGCCTAGTGCCAAAGCAAATTATTCATTGATTTAATATTTTCAGCTCCAAAAACTGACCGACTGGTTTAACATTTTCAGCGACAAAACAAGATTGTTTTGAGGGAAGTGTTTATCAATGATATAAGTTTTGAGTTCTTGAATCTTAATTGTCCATCGCGATCGCCAGATTCAACGACCACAGATTTATTTTGGGTTTCTTAAGAAAAAGGTGTATGCTTATTGAGAATTCTTGAAACAGAACACATGAAGCTGAGGTTTACAATGGTTGTGACAAGGTCTTGAGTTTCAAACATGTTTTTAATATAATGTAAGTGTATTTCTATAAATTATATTTTACATTAAGGGGACTTCTACACCTTAAACCCCTCATGATCTTCGAATAGGTGACTGTTGCAAGAATTGGGATATTTTATTTATTTTAAAAGCAATTACTTCCAACTTTTACAGCTCACTACATAATATAGCTGCTTTGGAAATTGATAACCAGAAAGTTTGTGTTGCCACAAATATTTTTGTAATTTAATCCTCTTTGTGACAAAATATTTCGCCATGTTTCCACCTTGCGCGCATGATATTTTAAAAATGGCTAATGGTACATACATGAAATTTGATGGAATTCTTTATATGGGCACTACTTTCTAACTGAACCAACAATCTGATGAATATTTTAATATCGAAAAATTTTATGGACGAAAACATTACAAATTTTTTTAATAAATTACATTTTATAAACTCAACTCAAAATAAAATAAAAATTTAACATGAAATTTTTAGAATTTTAGGTTCACAGTAGTTTAAAAATGTTATAAAAGCTATATATTAAATATGAAATTAAATTATGAAACAGAATGTTTTAAACTGTGCGCGCAAGTTGAGTTGGAAACATGACGAAAAATGTTGTCACGAAGCGGATTAAATTATAAAAATATTTGGGGCAACACAAACTTTCTGATGACTATTTCAGAAAGCAGCTATGTTATGTAGCCAGCTGTAAAAAAGTTGGTAGTAAATTGCTTTTAAAATAAATAAGTTATCCCAATTCTTGCAACAGTCACCTATTCGAACATCTTATGGGTTTTAAGGTGTATGAGACCCCTTAAAAAAGAAAGCCAAAAAGTAAATAATGTTGAAATAAAAAATGGTAATTATGGTATTCTAAGAAGGTAATCATGCACCATTTTAGAGAATAAGAACTAGGTGATACGTAAAGTACAGTGTGGTAAATGATGTAACAGGAAGAGAACGCACGGTAGCGAGCAAGGTAACGAAATGTGGGAAAGACATTCCATGAAGTGTTTGGACATAAACGTAAACATAGTAATAAGAGTTACGAATTTCCATTAGTAAATACACTAAAATGCAAAGATGTTCCAGTGAGGGCAAAATAGAGCAGTGGACAAATTTAAAATTCTTTTCTTGGAAAATATGAGATAAAAAGTTTTGAAATGATAAAACAAGAATTACAGAGATGAATCTATACCTTTTAAATGCCTTTGTAAATGGTTTTGAACTTTTTGGGATGGATGAGATTCCATTGGAGAAGTTTCGCGAAGTAGTAAATCCATGGCTTGCCGTAAGCTACAGAAACATTGAAAAAGTGATGAAATTAGCCAGAAAGATCTGCTGAGGGGACTTACTTTTGAGAGTGGTATCAAGATGCACCCAATTTGTTCTAAGTGTCACAATGCACTCACAGAACCGGCACATATCCTTGAGTGCCTGGAGTTGTCTCTTGTGGACCTTTTAGCTTACTTTTTTTTTAAAGGTGAATAGACTCGTGGACCTCGTCTAGTATATTCCTAGGCATGGAGATTAGTAACAACAACAAACAACAACAGCAGAAAGATCTGCAATGAAGCTAATACGTACAAAGATGTTCTAATAAATTTATTGCAGAAGATCTGTAGGGTACATTCAAAAAATGCCTTAATAAGTGTTGTCCTTAATAAGTTCCTTAGTAAGTGTTGTCCATATTCGATCTTTATCGTGTAACCATTTATGGCCTGTAAAAAAGCTGAAGCTCTAGATCATCCATCCTATTACTTGATGTTGTTTCAGTAGACTTATCAGGTTCAGTGTTTCTCCTTACTTGCTTGGGGAACATTCCAGAACCTGACTCGGAACAGGGAGCTTACTAAAGCTATGTTCAATAAATGTGGGAAGTAGACAAGATACACAGGAAGGGTATACGAAACCCTTTATTTTTCACTCTTTACAATGATTTCCGGACTACGGAATACAGAGACCAACCACTTGTGGTCTGAACGTAAGAATATAAAAATATTAACTAAACTTTAATTAACTTTGGAATAATAAACAAGGGCCTACGTGGAAGATTGGCCGTATATTAACAGGAAGCCGTATGTAGTACAGAGAACTGTTAAACACTACGATACGTTAAAATTATCAAGAGGATTAAACCTCTGGCCTGGAAGGAAACCAGCAAACCGAGTTAAACTGCTAAGGCACGCGGCCTGCTTCACTAACTCCTTCCTCTTTCTGCTTGGCAAAAAGCCACAACTTAAGTACTTGGCGTTTCGCCAGACAAATTTGCATAAATAAGTAAAGCTTTTAATTCTGGCCGGAAAGTAGAAAAATAGAAGTGATAGTAAAGATTTAAAATAAAATAAACGTTAGTAAAACTTAAGATCCTTACAGACTACTCTCTGATCTAAAACCTTAAATGCGCTCTAAAATGAGAATGGTTCTCGGGTATTCCATTTCGGGCAAATTCATTTAACATTAAGATAAATTGGCGAATTGTGCAAAAATGGCGATGGTATTAAAAATTAATTTTTGTCGCCAAATTGTGCGAGAAATTAACAAAACTCGCCAAACTTGGCGACATTTGGGTCCGATACCTATATTACTGTAACTGTTCCGATCCCTACGTAACTCTAATTGTATCCGTTCCTATGTAACTGTGTATGCGTTCCAGCAATTTCGAGAAATTGAAGGTACTAGAAATTTCTTGGCGACCGTGGGAAAATTATATAGTACAGGAGAGGATATTAGTTGAGCACATTTCAGAGTTTAGTTTGTAGAGTCATTAGGTTACTTGGAAGCAGAAAAGATGAAAAATGTGCAATCGCCTTTGCCGAGAATCGAACGACGGACCTCTGGAATACCGGCCCAGCGAGCTACCGTTACACCACGAAGGCAAGCTAGGTAAGTCGAAGAAATACCTTATATACTCCCCTTTTTAAAGGGCGACTAGGGTTTTACTGGACCTAGTCGCCAAATCCTGGGTGCGGAGAATCATCATTCACACACATCCCTTTTAGTTCGGGCGCCACATGTAGAGTCATTAGGATTTATTGGAAGCAGAAAATATGAAAAATATGGAACCGCCTTCGCCGGGAATCGAGCCAGGGACGTCTGGAATACCGGCCCAGCGTGCTACCGTTACAGCACGAAGGCACGCTAGGTGAGCGGGAGAAATACCTTATAAGTTTAGAGTATTGAAAGTATTGGGAGATCACTAAATGAGGTTACCTATTTGAGGCGTTTTATATTGTTTTGTTTTTAATAACCTTATGAGTTTAAAGTGGTAAGAAGTCGTACTGGGAAAAGCTGTACTAGTACTTATGTGAACATACCAGAACTATAAAGTGTTTTGTTTGGGAAAATAAATTTTATCGACGTATCAATTCTATGTGCACTCAATACACATAGAAACGAGGTTAGGTCGACAAAATTACGAATCCGTGCTCACATAACAGTATGCTATCAGAACCATGAACTCTTCTGTTAATATAGAGACAAAGAATTATTTCATGTAATATTTAAAATACATGTTTTAGCAATATACAACATCATATAACTTATTTTATAATAACAACATAATATAACAGCAACAGACATCATTCGAATGTTAATATGTTACATATTTTATGTATGTAACAGTTAATACGCTGGATCGTTTCAGTTATGTACCAAATAAATTCTTTAGAAAGATGTATGAAACAATACTGTACTTCCATGGATATAACATACTTTATTCATTTCGATTACGATGAAACGTTTCTAAGCATAAGAAGCAAATGTATTAAGTTAGCTATTTCAATTAATGAAAAGAAAAGAAACTGACGTAGTCTAAAATTTATAATTGACAAAACGTAATTTGGAAATCAAAAAACGGTAATTAGAAGTAAGGAGAACACATTTAATTAAACGATGTCGATAAGAAACATTGGCATCTCTGTCTTTCTGCAGAACACTCTTCGGAGTGTGTTTCATATAACGAAAAAAATTCAAGATTACATTATTTTTTTGCAACAACTTCTCGGATATGATAAGAAGAAGATTGATCACTCACCATGTTGCTGGTGTAATTTGAGATGCTTTTCTTCGTCATCTGCGAGGTCGAGGGATGTTTTGATTTTGGAGTCCTGCGCGGCAACCGTCACTCTTCTGGGGCTGCCTTCAACCATTCTCAGTCATCGATTTCATGCCCTCTTTCAGCCTACAACAAAAAACACTTTCAGGTTAGCTCTAGAGGATTAAAAAGAAGAAATGTAAACCGATGAACTACAAATCATGTAACAGCTTAAAATCAAAATCGGAGGACCATTTCAAGAATTTGGAGTCGAAATTCTAGCACGATTTGTGGAGAACTTTATGTATATATCCTTAGGTTTATTAACCCTTTGAGTACTGAATTATTTGAAGATTTTTATGCCCATGAGAGAAATTTAATTTGTCGCTATATGGATTAATATGTAAAAGTAATACATTTTATTTGGAGTATACTTATACATATATAATATACTTATACTGGAATATACTTATATTCCTTATATTCAGATGACGAGACAGACTCGTCCACGGTACTTTACCCAAGTAAGCAGATGACGAGTCTTCCTCGTCAAATGCACCCGAGGGGTTAATGGAGTACGTCTAATTATTTCCGTGGTTAAGTGTTAAGTTTATTAATAAAGGCCACATGAATAACTCTATATATATATCCTTAAGTTTATTAACCTTTAAATTACTGAATTATTTGAAGATTTTTATGCCCATGGGAGGAATTTAACTTGTCGCTATATGGATTAATATGTAAAAATAATACATTTTATTTGGAGTATACTTATACATATATAATATACTTATACTGGAATATACTTATATTCCTTATATTCAGATGACGAGACAGACTCGTCCACGGTACTTTACCCAAGTAAGCAGATGACGAGTCTTCCTCGTCAAATGCACCCGAGGGGTTAATGGAGTACGTCTAATTATTTCCGTGGTTAAGTGTTAAGTTTATTAAAAAGCCACATGAATAACTCTATATATATATCCTTAAGTGTTTAACCTTTAAATTACTGAATTATTTGAAGATTTTTATGCCCAGGGAGGAATTTAACTTGTCGCTATATGGATTAATATGTAAAAAAATACATTTATTGGAGTATACTTATACATATATAATATTATACTGGATATACTTATTCCTTATATTCAGATGACGAGACAGACTCGTCCACGGTACTTTACCCAAGTAAGCAGATGACGAGTCTCCCTCGTCAAATGCACCCGAGGGGTTAATGGAGTACGTCTAATTATTTTCGTGGGTAAGTGTTAAGATTATTATTAAAGGCCACATGAATAACTCTATATATATATCCTTAGGTTTATTAACCTTTAGAGTACTGAATTATTTGAAGATTTTTATGCCCATGGGAGGAATTTAATTTGTCGCTATATGGATTAATATGTAAAAATAATACATTTTATTTGGAGTATACTTATACATATATAAGATACTTATACTGGAATATACTTATATTCCTTATATTCAGATGACGAGACAGACTCGTCCACGGTACTTTACCCAAGTAAGAAGATGACGAGTCTTCCTCGTCAAATGCACCCGAGGGTTAATGGAGTACGTCTAATTATTTCCGTGGTTAAGTGTTAAGTTTATTAATAAAGGCCACATGATAATATATATATCCTTAAGTTTATTAACCTTTAAATTACTGAATTATTTGAAGATTTTTATGCCCATGGGAGGAATTTAACTTGTCGCTATATGGATTAATATGTAAAAGTAATACATTTTATTTGGAGTATACTTATACATATATAATATACTTATACTGGAATATACTTATATTCCTTATATTCAGATGACGAGACAGACTCGTCCACGGTACTTTACCCAAGTAAGCAGATGACGAGTCTCCCTCGTCAAATGCACCCGAGGGGTTAATGGAGTACGTCTAATTATTTTCGTGGGTAAGTGTTAAGATTATTATTAAAGGCCACATGAATAACTCTATATATATATCCTTAGGTTTATTAACCTTTAGAGTACTGAATTATTTGAAGATTTTTATGGCCATGGGAGGAATTTAATTTGTCGCTATATGGATTAATATGTAAAAGTAATACATTTTATTTGGAGTATACTTATACATATATATATATATAATATACTTATATTGGAATATACTTATACTTCTTATATTCAGATGACGAGACAGACTCGTCCACCGTACTTTACCCAAGTAAGCAGATGACGAGTCTCCCTCGTCAAATGTACCCAAAGGGTTAATGGAGTACGTATAATTATTTCCGTGGGTAAGGGTTAAGTTTATTAATAAAGGCCACATTAATACGTTAAGTTTTTAAACTAGATAAAATTCAAACATTATATTGCTCTTAGTTTTATACAAATCCCGCATGAATTTCAAAAGAATGTGTAAACATGTTCAGTAGATATCGCAGAAAAGAAAAAATGTATCACACGCATTTATTTTCCTTTTACTTCTTTTTTAGAATACGGAAAAGCACACGAAGGCTTAAGGAAAGGCATGATTTTTGGAGGTTAATTGACTGATTGTTTTGAATGAAAGCTATTTTCTGAATAACTTAGGGACTATCTGAAGAGAAGGTATGATTTCGTGGACGAATGTTTCAGAGAAACACGTATTCACCGCACACATGGGCAAAACCACGAAAATTTCTATGCAAAGACTATCAAAGAGAAATTGGTTTGCATTCACATTTGCACATGAGAAAAATCATGTAATCACATATTTAGCCAGGTCGTTTGCCGAGTCTCGAATCTGGAAGAACTACCATTATTCAGCAATCTTACCCTCTCCGCTGCTGATAGGCTCCTTTCGTTCGTGAGTCCACCAGCCTACCTAGTAGTAAAGTCGCTGAATACTGGTAGTTCGGTCTGAGGTTCGAGTCCCGAGAGCGGGTTGACTGCATGTTGTTTTCGTGTTTTTCTCTATGATTTGGTTTTGTTTTATGTGATTACAGCAAATCCCCGAGGGCTATGTGCCCGTGGGGAGGGATGGCCTTCGTGGAGGACTTTCTAAGGAAAACTGGCTCGCATATACGTTACACATGGGGAAAAACTCGAACACGCCCATGGAAAGGAAAACCATGAAAACGCCATTCGAACCTCGGACCGAACTACCACTGTTTCGCTCCTCCGCTGATGGAAAAGCAAAATCAAATCATCCATGAAATTCTACATTAAATTACACTGCTGTTGTTGCCATTGTAACTTGATAAAATATTAGAATTTTTTATCCAGTTTAGAACACTGATAATAATTATATATTTGATTACGCAAATTGAATTTTCATGTTTAAAATATATAACTATGATTAATATATGAGCTAAATAAATGACTATTTATTTACTTTTCAATATAGTCGTTTTAGATTTTTACAAGGAGGTAAGCGCATTAATAAAAGATTTTTGGTTTCCATAATCTAACCAATTAATTACTTAGTTCCTTTGAATCATCAACTTCCTACTGGTTATCACAATTCCTTACAGAAGCATAAAAATGAAACAATAAATGAAATCTTTAGTCTAATATGTCTTAGATTAATTTTAATCTTATTATTTCAGCAATTTCCAGTTCTTGATGTCTGCTACGGCGCTTTTGAGAGAATCATAAACGTTCATTTGCCGTAAGATAATGCATTATCACCCAGAGAATTGTTGCTTGGAACAACAGTCTCTTGATGTTAAGTAGCTATCAGATGAGTCTATTAAACAAATTACTCTGTTTAAGTGTAATTAATTTTAAGTAGAAGCTAATTAAAGATGCAATCTCAGTAGGCGTGTATTGGCAAGTGTTTAAGCCAATTTATTGTTGCGAAATGAAACTTAACTTGAATACATTGTTAATCCTCCCTACTGTAGGGTGCAGGAATCTGTGTTTACTTCAGCCTATCTCTCTACAAAGAGCATTACAATAAACATACGTTATTTAAATTTTGAAACTTTAAATTTAATTAAGATCTTATTCGTTGTCTCAAGTGATAATTATCTGAAGATCAAAAACACTTAATAATCAAATAACCAAAGGAAACATAAAAGTCCTCTTTAACAGATTTTAAGCAATTGGCTATATATGAGGTGGATACTAACTAATTTCGGTTAGAAGTCCTTCAAGAAAACATCTTAGACAGATAGACTTTACGCCCAACTGATTGAACAAAGAAGAAAACTATTATTATTTGAAACTATTATTCTATTTTTATCGGCCTTTTTCTGCGGGTGTCGTTTCCATGGTTATGAGGCAAATTGGAGGCGAAAAATAACCTTGAAATTTCAATTTTAAGGTAACTGTTATAGTCATATGATGCATTGAAGGTATAGTGCCTTGGATTGTTTATAGTTTGTTCCCACAGTTCTGGCTGTCTTTAGACGTCATTTTTGTAAACCCTTGGTGGTTAGAATGGATAAAACTCGTCTAGAAATGCTTGTCACTGATCAACGCTTCCAAAACATGTGCTATGGAGTGCATTAACAGAAATTGAGAAAGACTGTAATGCCGAAGAGCTAGTTATATACTAAGGAATATTCTGGATGTGAAAGAATCTCCCAGTTAAGTTACTGAATGCCGATTTTGGCAGGTGGTGTGGCGTTGCCCATACGGATGATGATCACATGCACTTTGTCTGGCCTGCTTAATAGAAGTACTGCATGAAAATTGTAGGTAAATTTATAACTACTCACATGATGTGATGTCGATCAAGAGAGCTTAGACTGTTAAAAAATTTTCAATCAAAGCGAGCTGAGCAAACGAAGAATGAGACATTGCTTAAATCAAAATACATATCACCTAACAATTGTGTTTTGGATGTCTTTTGAGCAACACCACGCACTCCATACACAGCACACAGCACATATTTATTAAGAAGCCTCTGCACAAATAATGGTGGAACTCATATAGGAGAGCGTGTTAGACATACTTCTTCCTTTCCACCTGAAATTAATAAGTAAGTTAAATTATGAAAAAAAAATGTCTAGCGGAAGCAAAGACGTTCATATTGGTACTGATATGGGATACAATTACTACATTTAAGCTCCATTGTTATCATCGGTGACATTTAAGAAAACTAATCCGGAAACAAACGGCATGAACGTATACATTGTAGAGACATTACGTATT